TCGGATCGACTGATGTTTTCACTTAATAAACAAAATATTATATTATGAGACAACATTTTCATATTCACATTTATCATGGCCAGAAATTTTGAAATAATTATTAAAACAATACTTTTGTAAGTCAGAACAGGGGGATTAGCTCAAATGGTAGAGCGCTCGCGAGAGGTACCGGGATCGATACCCGGATTCTCCACCTCTGAAAACTTTTTCTTGGTTTTGTGTTTCTTCGCAAAGACAGATGAGGGTTCACCTTATTTCATTTTGAATAYAAGCCAGCTTTTTACCTGGAATTTTCTGGATAAAAAACACTGGCATGCACAKGATTAGATCTAGAAAACGCAGTGGATTCTGTTTTTATTTTGAGCATAATATCAGAGAACAAAAAATAAAATATTTGGACGACGAGAATAAAAGAACATGGACTTTTTTTATGTAGTGTAATACTTTTCATTTCTAAAGCTGGCTGTATGAACACTTTATTCGGCACCCTCATTCACACACATGAACCAAAATAGCAGAGCAAGGTTTCGATCCTTGGACCTCTGGGTTATGGGCCCAGCACGCTTCCGCTGCGCCACTCTGCTCAACAWATTTCAAGCAGGTAAGGAAACGACTTTAAATGCTTCCATTTTGAGTGACTTTTTTCAAAATGCATATTGCATGCACACTTCAATATTTAAAGATCGAGGGAAACACATTGACTCAGTTTTGTTTTAGTATCAATTAGTAGTAATCCATTACAACAATTTAATACTTTTGTAAAACTCAGTACGACAGCACTCGCTTAGTAGCATACAAGATGTAACGGGATCAATACATGGCTTCTCAATCAAAAAAACGTTTTTMTTGCGCTTTTGTGTTTCTTTGCCAGCATTTTACCTGAAATTTTAGATAAGCCGACACACTGGTATGCATGCTAGAAATCTAGTAGATCACAAAAATAAACATTTTACTGATCGATGCTGTTTTYATTAAACGAACAATATTATTTATTAAAAGTTGATGCTGCGTGCTGAGGAGAACCAAAGAAACAATTTGTGCGAGTGAATAAAAAAATTACTAGACTAAAAAATACAAAAACAAAAAATACTCTTTATCATAAAGAGTATTTTTTGTTTTTGTATTTTTTTAGTCTAGTAAATCTATTATTCACTAAGAGAGTATATTCTGATGATTCTTCATTTTTAAGGTTAAAAAAAATGAAAATATCTTTTTTAGCTGTCTAGCTGCATTTGTCGGCTCTTGGCTTCCACACAACCAAAATAGCAGAGCATGGATTCGATCCTTGGACCTCTGGGTTATGGGCTCAGCACGCTTCCATACACTGCGCCAYTCTGCTCAGCACGACCGATCTGTTTTAAACAGGTATGAAAATGACTTTGCTTCCATTTCAAAAACGCATTTTGAACATAGTGTTGATAATTTAAATACAATTCAAAGATCATTACAGGGGGATTAGCTCAAATGGTAGAGCTCTCGCTTTGCATGCGAGAGGTACCGGGATCGATACCTGGATTCTCCATGATGAAAACATTTATTTTTGTTTTGTGTATTTCTTTCGAAAGCATTTATAGCTGTATCATACATTTTTGATAAAACACACATGTATGTATAT